AAACTACACATTGGTAGCACTCTAATAATATGTCTATATTAGAAGATCACGTGGCCATCTTCTTTTCAGACGCCTCAGAGGGTAAGGACTCAGGAATCGAATAGAAAGCAAGGTTAGAGACATGAGGGTTGGGATGGTTATGAAGTTTATTATGGAAGGACAGATATCTGGATTGGGTCAAATCTGATACATAAAGAACATTAAGGTCATTATGGATAATTTTATTTGTAACAAAGTAAGGAGCATTGAGGATTTACGAAGGATTTTGGATTGTAAGGATTGGATGCGAGAGGAATTTGAAGGTTTGGTGGAGCCCCATAGCTCAATTTCAAAAGTCCAAATAGGCCTTATTATACGAGTCTTTTATAATTGATTGGAAGGTTAGAGCGTTTGTCTAGTAAGTGTTGAAGTAGTCGGAAACGTCGAGCTGTTTCTTGTCGTTTCAGTCTGGTATGAGGATTCCAAGTTAGACGTTTGTCCAGATGGAGTCCTAGGTAAAAGTACAACTTGAAGTTATTATGTGAATTTTAGTTATCCTTGTTATTAAATTAAGATTCTTATCAGGATAAAATTAATTTTAATGAAAGAAAAGATATATTTTCGAGTGATGTCCTCGGAGTTATTTAGTTGATTTATATCTACCATTATGCCGTGTCCTTTATTATAAATACTTGATAATTTCAATAATGCTACATATGTTATATGATACTTGTAACAATACATGCAGTTGTAGTTATTCAATAAATAAAAATCCGTGCTGTACGTTTCTTTTATTTTTCCTGTTAAAACAATTCTCTAAGATGTTTGAGGAAGCCAGCCAGGTTTGTTGTTAAAGTCGATTAGTCACTCGGTGAAACAAATTGGGCGAGTTGACAAGTTTGATTACGTCCGGCTAAGTAGGAACTAAGAAAGACAAATGATCGGGATTACGTAAATCTAAATGGACTCATTGCAGAAGTTAAGGGAGGGGTCTCCTTAGTAGAACTTATTGCACTCTCTGCTTTATATCTCTTTGTAATGTTTAGAATCGATTGGAGTCCCCATCGATATTATAGTGCAAGGAGTTTGGTAAAAGAGATCAATAAGTATGATATGACACAATTCAATGTATATCTTCATAGAAAGTATTTGTAATTAAGAAAGAATACGCATACACACTTACAGATTAAAATTTTATTTTAAAACCGAACAGAATATTCAAATAAAACAAAATGTAGTAAATCGAATTATTATTTTATTTTAAAATATATTTGCATATGCGTTGCAACGGCCTTTTAAACTTCAAGTCTTCGTTGAGGCTCACCAGGTCACAAGGAGGAAGAAAGAGAGAGGACAAGTGGATATGGATAATTAATAGTTGAAGTATGGAATGTTGTATATTTGTCATTAATGTAAGACTAGTTGGCTCGTGCGAAAAATTCGCAGAAACTTTTGTTTAGTGAAGAAATATTAAAACAATATGGAAATAAGTAGTTCCTATGTATTATGTAAGGAATTAATATTATTTCCTTGTTTGATCACAATATTCCATTAAATATAATATATCAAAATATTCATTCAAATTGCTTTGCTAGGACCTATTTTTAAACGCTGACTGGAAAGATAATAAAAGTAATAAAGACAAAATAATGCCCCGATCATAGGATATTACAAATTATTATTACAAAAAATAAAATGTAAGAATTAACAAATGTCTTTAAGAAATGATAAAGTTAATATAAAAGCCAGGAAAAAAAAATGTAGTAGACTATTCTACTCCTAAAGGCAATATCTTTAAACAGGAAGACATTATTAAGTATACCGAAACTAATGGACTGTATCTTTGTTAATAATTGTCCGAATTTTAAGATTTTTTTTTCGTTTTGTAGGTAATTTAGCAATCTTTCTAATTATCATGGGTACAATCAAGAAAAAAAAAAACATACTTTTTGAGTTATTCGCAAATTAAGTTTCTTTTCCTCCATAACTTTTTTTCCAGAAATTTCGGGAGGATGGTACTATTTTTCGCATGTGAAGGAGAAGAATATCTCCAAAATGAGCGGTTAATAATTGGATTTGATGAAGCATTGACGAAGTTATGGCGTACCGACAAAAAAACACCTTTTAGAAATAATATATAGGATTTTACTGTTGGTATGTTCATATCGTTGTGTATAGCATGGTTTTAAATAAACCAAGATGAATAGACGAGTTTTCGTAGTATTCTGGACTGTGTGGTTTGAATTTTGTTTATGTGGCCGTGTTTTGCGGAACCCGAAAGTTCTGCTCCGTATGAAAATTTTAGGTATAGTGGTGTAGATTCGTTGCTTGTTTTGTAAGTTGACTGGAGATCTATAGTCCAAAAGATGTGACACTTGTTTTTATCGTCTGGTCAGTTCTTTGTTTTCAATTTGCTGTTTATGTTCTAGGTTAGTTTTCTGTCCAAATATAGTCTGACAACTTAAACCAAAAATATATAGGGTCTATTCTCATACTTTATATTTTTAAATTTTCTGGACTGATCAATTCACGCGGAGATCCTAAGTGAAAAAGTTTTTGTGGAAAAAGTGCATAAAGAACAATTGAAAGCAAAGAATTATACTTAGAGACCATACATTTGTTATTTGGTCATTTTATGTAGATTTTTTTACCTTTTTGATCATTTGCGAATTTATTTTAGATATTTCATCAATATCACTTTTGAAATATAAGCGTAGCAAGAAAAATATTCTATTGTAGGATGTAATTTATACAATAACACTGTATTGTGTACTTGAATAAGGTATTCTACACCTTGAATATTTTCAGCTGCTTATAGTCAAAGTTACAGACCAATTTTTATCAAATTATTAATATTCGCCTATAACTTCATTTACGAAAATGCTGGACAAGGGGACGTTTCCAATCTGAAGATATGTAAACTTGGTCTATTTAATGAGGTACTAAAAACGCATGAACACTCATTTACTTTCCATTTAAATCATAAGATAATTTGATCACAAAAAAATGGCCTACAAAAATATTAGACTATTTGCCGTGCCCTTCACCCCCAGCATGTCTAAATAACGATGTTATATTAGACAAACGGCTCAATATTTTTGTAGGCCACTTTTTACTCGACGTTGTGATCAAATTATCTTATGATGCAGGTGGAAAGCAAATGGATTTTTATGTGTTTTCATTACTTCATTAAATAGATTATATAAGTTTATGATAAGATGAAGTTATTCACGAAGTTTTATAATAATTTGGTAAAAAGAGTTCTGTATTTCAGACTGTTAAGATGTATTCCTGTTCATTAGGGAATTGAACAATTGACAACTTTTTTTTTTAACTCATTTATTTTATCTGATTAAAAATCTCTTAGTTAAGAAATGTCTTATCGTCATCTGTAATCCCCTTGAAGCTATTATTTGAGAATTTTTATTATTTATAAAATTAAATTAAAACAATATTATCTATAAATAACAAAAAATAATTAATTGAATTAAGAAAACATACAGTTAGCGACAGGATCCACATGAAGTCTGCGAGGACGTAAGTGAACATCAAGTTTGTGTGAATCGTGTTCCTAAGGCACCGCATCTCTCTGTAATAACATACATTCCGAATCATTAATAATAAATACGTAATATTTATAATATGATGATACTATAAATAATATGTAAGACTTAAAGACATCTAAGAGAAAAATATAGTTAACGTTTTACGGTCATGTAAAGAGGATGGTAAAGGGAAGATTGAACAAACAGATCTTTGAAAAAGTGATATAACTTGGACAAAGGACACCCTCAGCAGATCAAAGAAGAGACAAGAAGACAGAAAAGATCAGAGAATAGGACTACCTAGACAGAGAGGAGTTTCAAAAAATAGTTGGTGGAAAAAGGTTCTTGTAGTGGATGTAACGAAGGAGATGAGCAGAGGAAAGAAGATAGGAGATGGAGGTGAAGATGAAAAATATGTCGAAAAAAAGAAAAGTCGAGAAATGTAAGTATTAGTATAAACATATAACTGGGTATGTGTTTTTTAATATTCTTAAAATTAGTGAGTTTTTACACTTACGATTATGATCGAAATACATAATTCAACTTTTCCAATAATGACTTCCTGAAATAAACCAAGGATATATTTAAACGCCTATATATAAACTCTTATATGTTTAAACGCCTATATATTATATGTACAATAAAGTTACGAATATTTATACGTAAATTTAAAAAAAATCTCAATTTTTTTTTGTATCACACCATTTTCACTTATTATTCTACATTTTGTAAATATTGACTATTTAAAACATGTATTGTGTTAGGGCTAAATTAACCTATGAGTGGTTTAAGTGCTCCAATTGTTAGAAATAAATAAATGAAACGTTAATGAACTCAAAAATATTACATTAATTTTAAATGCAAACTGATAACAACTAATATAAAGTATGAGAATACGGGCTATACCTTTTTGGTTTAAGTTGTCATGCGATATTTGGACAGAAAACTCACCTAGAGCATATACCTATCTGTGCATACGGAGCAGAACTTCGAAAAATCATATATACACCTTAGTTTATTTAAAAACATACTATACACTATGATATAAATATACCAACAGTAAAATCTTACATTCATAACAAATGTACATTTCATATTTCAGCTATTAACGTTCCATATAGACTTGTCTCCTTTTTCATACATTCTTTCTACCTGGGGAGCGTCGCCGAAGACTGAAAAGGCAGTGGCCTAGAAATCCGCTCACAGTATATAAAAAAAACTCATGAAAAAAATATGGAAATAAAGCGAAAATCACTTCTACTTGATGCACGCAGTTGCATACATAATGTAAAATAAAATATTTGAAAATAAATTTTAATGATATCCAGTTATTCCAGTTCAAGTAATTATTACTTTCTAATAATTAAAGTAATCATAATTAACTACAATTAACAAACAAACAATTAAGATTGCTACTATTTTCCAGAAATTTGTTTTCAACTTGCCAATGTATCTCTCCCTTAGTTATTTATAAAATTCACCAACAAGAAAATGCAGGACGTCGGTTGACTTGTCCGCAACCACTACAGGCAACAACGTGAACACACCACACCACTAGTGCTGTTTTTTAAAAAAAAAGTTTGTTGAAATTTATAACTGTTTCGCATAAAAAATAAAACAAGTAAAACCACTGGTTCAATTTCAAAAAGTTTGTTGCTGGGTTTTGCAGTGTTTTTTGTTTTCTGAAAAAATATCTTTTTCGATAGTCAAATTTCAATATTGATATAAATTATACCGTACAAGAATAACGATATATTTTTTAAAAAATATTTCTAATGGATGAGGGTGTAAGATGTGAACTGAGATGTAAATGGGCGACAATAATCTCTTATCCAGGAGCTATGTACTCATATAACACACAAGAAATGAAAAAAGAGCAAGCTACGCCATTTGTTTAATGACGATTCTACTCAATTTTGACCTTGTTACCTAAAAACCATAGAAAAAATAAAAAAATTGTGGTTTAAAAACTACTAATTATATGGCATTACCTCTTATCGTGCAAATTATTACATGACCTTTACTACGAGAAATCACGCCACACTTAAATAGATATTTATTACTTCAAAGTTCTGAGTTTATGTTGACATTCCAATATTTATCGTATAATTTTACTGCCATTTCATTTACTTATGTTTCATGTCTGTTACTATGGATATAAAAGTTGCAAAACTTACTTTTTGCAATGTTGATCAAGTCTTGTAGGATTTTAGTTTAGTTTGACCAACTCATCTATAAAAGTGTAGGGAACAAGTAGTTCATCTGTCCGTTATCTGGCACCGCCACATGTGCGGGCTCAGGAATTTTACTCAGAAGTTGTATTTTTATTTCTTATGCAATAATTTTATTTTTATTTTAATGTAAAAATCTGTAGTAAAAACTTGCAAATGCATATACATACATAATGAATACTTTTTAATAATAAAGTTTTATGGTAATAAGATATACTGATGAAAGTTTAAAAATAACAGTAATTGCAACGACTCTTGCTAACCGATTTAAACATGGCGAAATCATACCATCCATTCTCGGGTCTGTTTGTTCTCCTATTTATTAAGTTTGGAGGCTCGTCTCTCCGTTAGAATTTCTTCCTCCCACAAAGTCTCGAGAATCATCTCTCCGTTTGTGGTGTCCATCTATGTCTTAAAGCGGACCCTACACGGTCATTCGGAATTGCATTCCGAGGCACTAATGACGTTCCGAATTGATCGTGTAAGGTAGTGAATGAAGTACTGATGGTGGTGTGTGCGGATTTCCGAACATCCGGAAATCAAAGGTTCATTCACGAGAAGTGGAGGGGGACTGAGGTAAAAGTAGTGGGGAGACTAACCATACTACTGGATAGGTTAGGTTACCTAGGCCTCACAACCATTATAAATTTCTGATTTTCATTATAGTAAATAGTTAAATAATTTTTCATATCCCTTGTTTATATTTTTAAACCATCTTCAACTATTTCTTTTAAATAGTCAAGTGGGCAACAAATTTAAAAAAAAAAGTGGAAACTTCACAATTTACTTTAAGAAAAAAAAAATCTTTAACGTTGTGTATATTTGTCAGTTCTTTTCCCATTTTCCTCAACAAATTTATTATTTTCGCAATACCTTTCCTTAATTTTTGTAAGTAGTAGACTTATATTTTACTAACTTTTGTCAAAACGATTTTCTATGAGACTAACCTTACTACTAGATAGGTTAGTTTACCTAGGTCTCGTTTTTAAGTAAATAATTTCATAAAAGTAAATAGTTGTTTATATCCCTAGTCTATATTTTTATTAACCATTTTCAACTATTTTTTCTTTAAATAGTCAAGTAGGCAATAAATTGAAAAAAAAAAAGTGGAAACTTCACAATTTACTTATAGAAAAAAAATCTTTAACTGTTGTGTTTATTTGTCATTAATTTTTCCATTTTTCTTAACAAATTGATTATTTTCGCAATACTTTTCCTAGATTTTTGTATGTAGTTGACTTATATTTTTCTAACTTTGGTCTAAACGATTTTCAGGCACTAGGAAGTAATTATTATATCTCCATTTTTCTCTTGATGCCCAATGTTATAAATGACAATGTCCAAATAAGCATATCTATGCTGTTTCTTTGTTTACAACTGAGCTAAATTGCTTCAGCAATGATAAGTAATGATTGAACGTGTAAGGGTCTTCATGATCAAAGCGATCCCGAGCAATCTTTGCCATTCTTGTGACGTTCATTCATGAATTACCGTGTAGGGTCCGCTTAAGGCCCATCCTTCAGCTCGTAATTTGGGTGCTCATCTGCCCGACACTTTAGGTCATCCTTTTTTATCATCTTCCTCTTTTATTTAAATATTTGAATACGCTTTATCGAGGCCTTTTAGTGTTAGTTTAGCACGACTCGATAGAAACAATTTGCTATTTTGATAGTGAAACTAAGGTTTACATTGTTTTTATCGAAACTTAAACAATGATTCGTCGTAAACCTATGATTTCCTGTCCTTCAGCATCCTTTAACAATACTCCACTTATCTCTGTTGAACAAATCCGATACCTAGGACTCTCCCTTGACAAACGACTCACTTGGAACCCTCATACCAGACTGAAACGACTAGAAACCGCCCGACGTTTTCTAATACTCCAGTACTTACTAGACAAACGCTCTAAACTGCCAACTATTTACAAAAGACTCATATATATTACTATAATAAGGCCTATTTGGACTAACGGGATGGAGCTTTGGGGCTCTACTAAACCATCAAATTCCTCTCGTACCCAATCCCTTCAATCCAAAATCCTTCGTAAAATCCTTAATGCTCCCTACTTTGTCACAAATAAAACCATCCATAATGACCTTGATGTACTATATGTTTCCAATTTAGCTCAATCCAGATACCTATCCTTCCATAATAAACTTCTGAATCATCTGAACCCTCTTGTTTCCAAAATTGCTTCCTCTTCTATTCCTGATAACCCTCCGAGGCGTCTGAAAAGATAATGGCCTCCGGGACCTTCTAATGTAGGAATATAATTGGAGTGCAACCAATGGGTAGTTTCTCTTCATGTTGTACATGTCATGTTGCTTGTTCATATTTACTTGTTGTATTTGTCATTTAATAAATTTGTAAATTTCTATAATAAAAAAACAATGATTTTGCTTAGTTACAAATGAAACCCATAAAATAAAAATAAGGAATTGCCATATTTTCTAAATCAAAATGTCGAGATATTTCATTCAAAAAGGTGAGATAAGCTTTAAATATTATATCTCTATGTTATATCGAAATTGTTCAGTATTGATGAGGATACTCAAGCTTGGATCGAAATATTCGAAATAAATATACATAAAACATTACTGCGTCCTGACTAGTGTTGCCCAAAATCGGTCTTGGTGTTGCCCAAGACCAAGGCCGCCTGATTGTTACAAGACCAAGACCAGGACTGGTAAAAAAAAATCGGTTTTTTGAATAAAAATTAAGGCAAAATACTTACTAATACTTGACAATTTTAATTACTATATGTAAATAATTGGTATAACCAATATACTTTTGCATTTAACTCCTCTAATTTT